AGCCAAGATCACAGATTACAGGTGGCGCCGAGCACAAAAACGGACAGGCGACAGGCAGGCTAGCCAAGGTGCTTGCAAGCGCCACCGTTCGGTTAGGCAACTGGTATGACTGTGTCCTTGGCAGGGTGGGGGTGAGACGGGCATTGTCGCCTTGTGGTCAAAGCAGCTCAAGGACACCATTACTACAGGCAAAACACAACATTGACCCCCCCCTCCCAATTCTGGCCGTACCCATGTGTGCATGCATCAGGAAGTTCATGCAGTGCGTTTTCTTAAAGAAAGCACAAAACATTCTTTGACAAGTGGTCAAGGAAAGCAATGTTCCCAGGTACGTGATAACATGGTACATTTCGGGATGGAGGCAACCTGGTGTCTCCAGATGTTGCAACCTGCAATTCCTGCAGACCTTTGCTGTGAGTAACTTCTAAGCTCCAACCCCACCAGATCCCCTTTCTGGGATATATGGAATGGGGCTGAAGGCAGAGAAGCACATACAACCGTCGGTCACGTTGTGTCTAACCTGTGAGCAGTTTTCCAAAATTTTCTGTTAGGAGCACATTCTTGTAGGGGGGAAATGCAGGGGGCAGGGATGTCCTGTTCAGCAGTTGTTAAAAATGTTTAAATATTGGAGGAGGCTTTCCATTTCTGTTCAGACTTTCTAGGAACAAAGTGAAGATAGGTGGAGTATGTAAGCCCTGCTTTTCAAAGATAAAGGTTCAGCCTGTCTGGCGGTCATTGCAAAGCCCGAGAATCCAACATACAGTTGCAATGCACATCTTTAGCTGATAGAAACCACTGAAGGTTTAGATCAAGGGTGGATAATATGTTGCTTCTCCCATTATCCCTAACCAGATAGGAAAGATCACAGCTATAGTCCAGCAAGATCTGGAGGGCCTCACATCATGCACCCCTGCTTTAGAAGACATTTCTTTTTAATGACAAATGCTTTTATGCCACTTCAATCAAATGAACTAAGCAGTTTACACAAAATTAAGCCATGAATTATAGTTTGCAACTGTTGGAGAAACAAATATACTCAGAATTTCAGTAATTCTGCAGAGCTGTCGAAGTGTTGGGTATCACAAAGTGTAAATTGATGATATAGGTCCTGTATGCACCCAATATATTCACTGGGACAGCTGGGGTATCTGCAAGGAGAGGTGGTCAAAGTCAACAAGATGGTGGATGGAATGTCACAATGCAAGCCCCTCCCCTTTGGAATGCACATGTTCAAAGAGGTTTGCATCATGACATTCTTTCTGCCATCTTGCCCATTTTGCCCCCCTTCTATGGATGCCCCTAAGAGTAGTTTAAGGTCAGAAGCTGGAATTCTAGCACATCGATCTTCCTGAAACTCTTGGATTACCAACTTCCACTACACCCATAGGTTACTTAGTGAGCAAGAAAACAGGTTGAACATGGTGTACATGCACTTTGAAGGTGTGGGATGGGCAAATTTAGTACATCAGGGCAGATAGTAGCATTAGGCTTTGCTGGGCAGTGGCTAGGATCAAAGCAGTGAACCTAGACCCCAGGGCATTGTAAAGTTTTGGAAGTGCTTTGGTTCAATTAAGCACTCTTTGGAAGCCACTCCATGAAGACAGTGTCCTGCTCCTCTCCTTAAAAAATCAAGTGAAGCTCCAGTTTACTTCACATCTTCTGAGGCCTCTTCTGACACTTCCAAGTCTTTTCCAGACATCGAAGGATGCCCTCAAAGCAATGCAAAAAACACTGTGATATAGTAAAGGTAGTGGACTGGCACCAGGAAAACCCATGTTCCAGTCCATTGTCAGCCACAGAAGTTCACTGGGTGATTTTGGACCAACTTCTCTTTTACCCCAAGAGCCAGGGTGAGGTAGCCATGAAGGTGCTGGACTAGGAACAGGGAGACCCAAGTTCTTGTCCCCCCTCAGTCCTAGAATCTCACTGGGTGATTCTGGATCAGTTCCTCTAAGCCAGTGTTGTCCAAACTTGGCCACTTTAAGG